CTTTACACAATTGATGTGTGTATGGATTGGGATAACAGTTGTATGAGCCCCTAATAAAATGTTAAAAAAATAAAAAGAAAGTTCAAATTGATGCTGAAGAAAATGGAAACAAATCCATGGGAGCCAAAGCACAACCTTGAGTATGTGGTGGTGGTGGTGGTGGTTAGGTGCAATCAAGTTGGTTCTGACTCATAGCAACCCATGCACAACAGAACGAAACCTTGTGTATGTTGTTGTTAAGTGCTATTGTGGTGGTTCCGACCCATAACGACCTTATGCACAGCAGAAACACTGCCCGGTCCTGCACCATCCCCCCAACTGTGCGCCTTCCTTAGACTAATCAACCATTTTGAATCAAAAAGGGCAGCATTTGCCCAAGTACAAAATTCAGAACCATTAGGAAAGGAGGAATGGAAACAAGGTGAAGTGGAATGAGTGATGTTATATTTTCAGATTGCAGTCAAAGGCACTAGCAAACTGCATGTAAAAGCTGGACAATGAAGAAGGAAGACCGGAGAAGCATGGATGCCTTTGAATTATGATGTTGGAGAAGAATATGCAAAACACCATGGACTGTTAGAAGAACAAACAAAACTGTTGGAGGAAATGCAGTCAGAATGCTCCAAGGGGGTGAGGCTGGTGACACTTAGTACTCAGGACCTGTTGTCAGGAAAGACTAGTCCCTGGGAAAAGGACGTCGTGCTTGGTAAAGCAGAGAGTCCCAGAAGTGGAGGAAGACCTTCAAGGAGATGGATTGACACAGTGGGCTCAAACATAAAATCAGTGAGGATGGTGCCCACAGGGCAGTGTTTTCTTGTGCTGTGCCCTGGTCACGGTGAGTTGGGGCTGACTGGAGGGAACATCTCCCATGAGGGCTTGTCATGCACCCTATTTGCATTAGTTGCAATGCCATCCAATTTCCTTGAGGAGTTACAAGAACACATTTGCATAGTCCCACCTAATCCGTTTGTAGAAGTCACAAGAGTTATGTTATTCACTGTACCGTACCTTTAAAACCGGCTTAGAGAGCTGTGGCCACAAGAAGCAGATCAATTCCTAAATGAGCCTTAGGAGTCAGATGTCATTGACAGTCACGACAGACACACATCCACAACAGCGGAGGAGCCATTTTTGGTTGACAGGGGAGCAGGATTCCATCTGACAGGTTTCCTATTATTGCTATTGTTCTTTTTTTTTGTCCCTAGAAAATTGTGGAACCTATGTATTAGAAATATTAAATTATGCATCACTTTGACCGTGAGCTTCCGTTTTTTCAGAGCTTTTGTTTTACCAAGGAGTTCAAGCAGTAGCAGGGCTTTTCTAAGCAGCACACTAGGTTCTCTTGAGACAGTCTCTCACACTCAACATTAGCTCTCCTGTGTCTTCGCAGCCTAGATGGCAAAGGTGTTCTCTTACTCAAGGACTTGGAGGGCTAAGCAATGGCATTGCTGTCACTTTTCAGCTTGTCCTTTGCTCCAAACCACTGCTGCCCCTGCACTTTGCTATCACGTACGTCCCAGCTCTTCACCTGGGCTCACCCCAAAAGTCACAGGTTTAATTTTATTCCCCAAAGCTCAGCTTAGGCCAGAATGTCAAGTTTAATGAGACCCATAGGCCACAGACATTACAGAGTGACTTACAACTGCCACTGGGATTTGATGCCAAAGATGGGCAGGGGTTCAACGAGATCCTTTTTCCCCAACCCAATCCTGCTCTTTTCCGATCAGGAATGCTTGATGGAAGGGATCAATCCATTTCTAAAGCAGAGACACTCATCTCCACTTTTGCTTGGTGACTGCAATCCCAGGTGCCACTGACCTGTTCCAAAATTTAGGGAAGCTGGTTTTACATAGGACTCACCGTGTGACACCTGTGGTTCCTCCCAGTCTGTGTTCCTACATGAGATGTCGAAATGAGGTTGGCACCTTCAGAATGGCTCTAGTATTGTCATCTCCTATGGGCAAATCCTTCGGTGAAAACATGCATCTTTCTTCTGAGAATAAATAAGAACTATAAGAGACATTTCAGGGGCCCCCGTGGTACAGTGGTTGCACATTGTGCTGCTAACTGCAAAGTCAGCAGTTCGAGACCACCAGCTGCTCCACAGGAGAAGGGCAGGGCTCTCTACTCCTATAAAGTTTTACAGATGAGAAACTGAGCCTGAAAACTCAATTCTATTTTGACATGGTCACGTTCCATTCTTAAGACAAAAATGCAAACCAAACAAGAATGAACAAACAAAGCAGGCTGAGCAACTTCAAGTTTCCTTTACACTGGCTTTGTCAGAGATCCCCTCAAAGCTCAGGACTTCTAGGTCTCATGAATATCTTCTACCCTCAGAGTCCCTGGGTAAACACGTGAGGTGCCAGGTTACTAAACATAAGGTTGGCAGTTCAAAACTACAAGAGGCATCATGGGAAAAAAGGCCTGGCAATCTGCTGCTGAGAAATTCTACCCGGAGAAACCCCAGGTGGATTGTTAGGCGGTGGAGAGAGCTTAAGAGAATGTCTACAGGTTTATTTTGATGTTTTGTACCCTGATAGCCTAACTTGAATCCATTATTTTCAATGCGTACATATCTACTTATAATTTTATTTTCTTTAAAGGGAAGATTTTCCTAATTTTGTGAGCACCTACATAGTAAAACAGTTTTTTTTCATTTACAATTTAATGGATACCGATTACATTCTTGTAGCTGTACGACCATTTGATCCTCTCTCATTAATAAACTCATTACCCCATAGATAGCGTCTCCATCTAATCTTTCCAGTATGCATTGTAAATCTGATCCCACAGAGACTGGTGTTAAAATAGCATCATGCTCAGGCAGGCGGGCTAACTTTAAGACAACTTCAGGGTATATATTCTTGAGTGAAGAAGAAAGATTTTTAAATATCATTCCAGGTATCTACTTATTTTAAAGGGCTTCATTTATTCCCCAAACTAGCAACCCTCCTTTCATCCTAACCCTTTTCTATTATTGGCTCGGCCAATTGTTATCATTTAAGGGTCAAAACCTTGATGTTATTAATTTAACAAATCTCTACCCTATTTTTCTCGTATAGCGTCTCCCTCACATATAACGTGCAGAAATGATGAAATGAAGTAAACCAGTTCTGGTATAACATTCATGGTAAAAAATGCTACTGAACACATAAATTGCGCAAAAGATGATCAAGAAACAATGGTGAGTTTGATAGAGCTTCTGTTTTCAAAAAGGAAAGACAAACAGGTGGGGTGTGTGTGTGTGTGTCGGGGGTGTGCAAACCAGGTACAGCCAAATTATAAAGACTTCCTGGAGGAAGTGATGATGATGTGGGGTGGGTGGTGAAGGGTGAGATCCATGGGTGAAAGTATAGGAAGAGAACATCATTCTGATGGATTTAAAAGACTTCATGCTAAAAGGCTGGTAGGGAAATGGAGCAAGAGCGGAGAAAAATATTAGAATAGGAATTGGACTTCATGTTTAACGGCACTGGAACGCCATTCGTGTTCTATTTTTAAAAGATCTGGCTATAGTTTGGAAGAGAATTCCTTTCCTTCCCACCCCTGCATCCAATCTATTACTAAAACACAAAACAATCTACTACTAAATCTTGTCAATTTCTCAGTCTTTAAATGTCCCTTAGTCTCTCTTCCTATTGTCACCATCTTAGTCTCACCTATTCTCATTTCCTGCTCGAAGAATACTCTATCCAGTCCTGACCTTCTCCCTCCACTTGAGCACTGTGATCTCATCATTGTGTGGTAAAATGCCACAGTAGGATAACAAAGAAGTCGAATTCACCTATCTTTGCTCTCCCAACCACTTATATATCTTCTCTGATATTACTTACAACCATTTTCCACCAAGGCCAGCCAGCTTCCTCCTAAATGAAGTTTACATTCTTTGCTCTCCCACCAGAACTTGGTAAATCAACGTGTCCTAACCCTTTTCAAATCGTCTGAGAAACGGCTCCTCCTGCCCTCTGACCTCTTGCACCCAGTATGGGCTGTGCCGAACACTTCTACTTGATTGAACGTTAACGTCATTGATCAAGGTTTCCTTTCATCAAAAAAGACCCTTTCCCGTTCTTCTTGTATTGGCCTCCCAGGCATATACTTTATAAATACTGCTCAGCTGTCATTGAACCGAATCGGGCGGGATTGGCGGGGTCTGGGGGCGCGGTGGGACAGTGGGGCCTAATACACTCGAGCAGTGGTTCTCAACCTGTGGGTCGCGACCCTTTTGGGGGGGGTGTCGAACGCCCCTTTCACAGGGGCCGCCCGATTCATCACAGTAGCAAAATGACAGTGATGAAGTAGCAACGAAAATAATGTTATGGCTTGGGGGTCACGGCGTGAGGCAGGTTGAGAAGCACTGCCTTAGAGGATGACCCAGAAACTCGGGCCCCGCCCAAAAGAGCCTTCAGACCAGACGCGAAGTCAGGTGGAGGTCGGCGGGGCGAAGGGGAAAGCGGTCGGGGACCCGTAGCGCCCGCTACAGCCGTTGGGGGGCGTGGCCGCGCCAGTCTCGCGGACGCGGCAGTTGGGCGGGCCGTTGCCCCGCGGGCGGGGCCAGTTGCTAAGGAAATGACCGCCTGCCGCGCCGCGCCTTGCCTTCGGGGCGGGGTCTCGGAGTCGCGCCGTTTCCGCTTCCGCTCCCTCTCAGCGCCCGTCCCGTTACCGCCTCCTGGCCGGCCTAGCGCCTTTCCCCGGCACCTTGCGTCGGCCGCGCCGCGCGACCCGCTCCTGCCACGCGCGCCGCCGGGGCTCCGGTTCCGGCGCCGGTACGGGTCGCGCCCCCATCGCCTGGCCTTGAGGCCTCCGGCTCGCTGCCGCCATGGGTGCCTACCTCTCCCAGCCCAACACGGTGAAGTGCTCCGGGGACGGGATCGGCGCCCCTCGCCTGCCGCTGCCCTACGGCTTCTCCGCCATGCAAGGCTGGCGCGTTTCCATGGAGGTGAGGCGGGCCGGCGGCCTGGCGCTACAGGGCGGGAACCCAACGGAGGAAGAGAACGGGGTGGGGTGGGGGCTTCTCCCCGGGGAAGGGTCCGCATCCCGAGCTTGCGACCGCCGCTGCTGTTTGGGGGGACGGCGGCGAGCTGAGGGCCGAGCTGAGGGGAGCTGCCGGTAGCTGGAGACCGTGTACCGCCGGCCGTCTTGGCTCAGCCATGTGGGAGAGGCACCGTCCACCCGCTGACCGCGCTCACCCTGCCCCTGCGCGCCATCCTCTGGGGCCACCCTCGCTCTCCTAAACGGTGCGAGGCTTACTGTGGGAATAAAGCTGGAAAAGGACTGTTTATTCATTTAATTTAGGGAAAGAGAGAGGCAAGGCGATGTGAGTGAGGGTCCTCGGTTATTGATTTTACACGTTTTGTGGAGCAGCCTCTTCGGGGGGTGAGGTTACAGGGAAGGAACGCCCGGGCGAAGATTTTCGTTTCAGGTTCTTCGGCTTCCCTTGCCTGGCCCTGAACATCGTCTGCCAGCGGGGAGTCTCAACCTGCCCTCCAAGAGTTGTCACTCGTTTGGACTCTTGTTCAGGGCCTTTCACGCCCTTCGGGAAACTTGAGCAGCTAATCGCTATAATTTAAAAAAAAAATTATATACTTGTTACTTAACGGCCTCAGGATACCACCAAAAGGTTACTCAGTAATTGCCATTTGTCCGTGCTTGTTGTAGTGTAGAATTTGTTTGAATTTTTTCCCAGCGATTTCTTTTTCTTTCTTTTTTCTTTTTTTAAGTTTTGGTCACAACCTAGAAAACGTCACTCGGGTTAAAAGGGGGGAAGTCTGAATGAAAAGTAGTATTGGGCAAAATGAAGGTGGAACTACAAATGAGATCATCCGGGAAACTGGTAGGAAAGAGGAGAGAGACACGTGCCTTTGTGGGGCGTGTAGTGAGCTCTAGGGCCAGTGGGGCCTGGGAAATGCTCCAATTAGCCTGAGATCGTGGGATTAACCACCTACTAGGTGAGCTTCAGGTAACCGGCTGGTACTTAAACTAGCTCCTTGGGGAATTTTCTCCAACCCCTTACTCCTCCCAGTGGTTAACACTGGAATGGCAGTATGAGCTAAAACCGCCTGTTAGTAGACTCAAACTGTAAGCCCATGACAGACTTTAATAATCTATCATTAGGTATAGAGGTTCAGAAATTAAAAGGTATTTTACAATTTATCTCATAGAATTTTGCTCTTAATGTTTTAGAGCTAAGAAATTGAGGCCCAGAAGGGTTATGGCACCTGTACCTTGGTAGGAAGAATTTGTAGCATCCAATCGCTTAAAAGTACTTCCTAGTGCACAGTATTGAGCTTGTTGGGTGCTTGTCACATATGATTGTAGTGTAGTGGATAACGTGTGTGTAGATAACTATTTTTTATATCATTTTATTAGGGGCTCATACAACTCATCACAATCCATACATACATCAATTGTATAAAGCACACTTGTACATTCATTGCCCTTATCATTCTTGTACATTCGTTGCACTTATCATTCTTAAAACATCCGCTCTCCGTTTAAGCCCCTGGCATCAGCTCCTCATTGTTTCCTCTCCCTCCCCGTTTCCCCCTTCCTCATGAACCCTTGATAATTTATAAATCATTATTTTGTCACATCTTGCACTGTCCGACGTCTCCTCTCTCCCAAGCCTTTGCTGTCCGTCCCCCAGGGAGGAGGTTATATGTAGATCCTTGCAATCAGTTACCCCTTTCCACCCCACCCTCCCTCCCCACTCCCAGTATCACCACTCTCACCTCTGGTCTTGAAAGGGATCATCTGCCTTGGATTCCCTATGTTTCCAGTTCCTATCTGTACCAGTGTGTAGATAACTTTTATAAGGACTTCTTAGCCATAATCTTGCAACTCAAACCAAATAATTGGGTGGGACTTTTCACATAAGATGCTTGTGGCCCATTGGGTGTGGTTTGGAGAGCCTGCTAATAATTCAGACGAGGTATATAGCCCCCTTACAGGGTCCCAAATCAAACATATTGTTACTTGAGTTGATTTCAAGTCATATCAAACCTATATAGGCCTTGTGAGACTAAATCTTTACAGGAGCAGCTTCATCTTTCTCCTGTGGAGCAGAGGGTGGGTTTGAACCACTTTGCAGTTAGCCTATTGCCATGCGTTGGTTAGTGTTGTCTTCTGCTAGGCTTAAAAAGCAAACTAATCTCAGAGCAGAGAGGAGACCTCTCTATCACCAAGAATGAGGGGCCGGAGAGTGGAACACATCCTTTGGACTCAGGGTTCCTATGCTGAAAACCTCCTAGACTGAATAGCAGCCCCTGCGATGGCACAAGACACAAAAGGGTCAGAGAACGAAGAGAAGAACTCACAGTGGGCTCCCAATTCAGGGAGTTAGAAAAGAGATCCTTCAGGTTAAGAGAGTGGGGTGCCTCTGTGCACTTGTCAGGTAGAGCTAAAGAGCTTGTAAAACTTGCCAGAGCTGGGCAAATGCCAGGCAGGCAGGCCCAAGGAGTTGAGGACAGGCTGTCCTGATCCTATATTGTAACTTATTACTGCCCTTAAAAAAAAAACCAACCATGATTATGAGTATTGTATGAGTTCTTTATTTATGGTCGCTGAACTGAATTACTGAACTCAGAAGTGAAGTCCAATGTCAGAATAGGTAAAAAGTCATGGGCAACAGAGGGGTGGGTGAAGGGAGATGCTGGGCAGTGTAAGATAGGATATAATAATAATTTGTAAATTATTAAGGGTTGAGGGGGGATGGGGGGAGGGAGGGGGAAGGGAAAAAAGGAAAATGAGCTGATTACGGGAACCCAAGAGGAAAGTGAATTTTGGGAATGATGAGGGCAACAGATGTACAGGTGTGCTTTACACAATTTACACACATTGTGATGAATCGTATGAGCCCCAATAAAATGATTTAAAAAAATTGAAATTAAAAAAAAAGAATAGGTAAAAAGTCTGGAGGGGGGAGATAATATTTGGCATCTAATTTATAGCAGTCAGCCTTGGGCTGTTGGTAACTGATAGATTCTTCTTTCTCTTGTGAAGTTAGACAAGGATTGATGCTGCCATAATTTTTACAGTTAGTGCCTCCCCCCCCCTCTTTAAACATTGTTTGAGAAATACCTGGATATAACTTCAAAAGAAAAACCTTAGTAGGTTAGATAGTTTCTGGAGGGCCCATTTGGTATCTTTTATTAACATTTAAAGATTTGAGGTGAGTATCTCATCTCGGTGAAAACATTTTCCACCAAAACCCTTGCTGTAGTGTTGTGGCCCCCTCCCCCCCCTTTGGCATTTCTCTTTCTAGTTTTCTCGCAATTGAGTTACTTGGATATTTAGTTCTTCAAATCATTTGCCTCGTGATTGGCTTTTTCTTTCAGAGCATTTTCTGTTAATTACCGTTTCTCTGATAATTAGAAAATGACTTTTTATCTGGGACTGTTCGGTGCGTAGAGCAGGTGTCAGAATATTACTTAGATCCTAGTCTTCTTCCTGAGATAATAACTACTTATGGTATTGAAATGGATCTTTCTAATATGCTGTTTATGAATTTGCCCTCTTTTGAATGACTCAATATGTGAATTACTGTTTGGGATCATGTTCTGTTTTATTTTATTTTTCATGTTCTGTTTTAAATGATACTTTCCTTCTGGTTTTGTTTCCTCTCTCTTCAAAATATAGCATAGTTTTCCTTACCTTTGCAAGAAAATAGCTATGACTTCTCATTTCTTGAACAAATCTTATCTTTTCAGAAAGTATACTATCCCTCTTAACCTTAAGGCACAATTTACGTAGTTAATAATCTGTTTACCTTATTTGCTAGGTCCTGATGATTTAGTTGTTAGGTAAATTTATTACCTCGTGAATCTTTTTTTTTTTTCCCCCCTTGAGCCCTTGGTATCAACTCCTCATTTCCCCCCCTCCCTCATGAACCCTTGATAATTTATAAATTATTATTAATTTGTCATATCTTGCCCACTCCCTTCACCTACTTTTCTGTTGTCCATCCCCCAGGGAGGAGGTTATATGTAGATCCTTGTAATCGGTCCCCCCTTTCCACCCCACCCTTCCTCCACCCTCCCGATATCATCACTCTCAGATGGTCCTGAAGGGATCATCCGTCCTGGATTCCCTGTGTTTCCAGTTCCTATCTGTACCAGTGTACATCCTCTGGTCTAGCCAGATTTGCAAGGTAGAATTGGGATCATGATGGTGGGAGGGGGAGCATTTAGGAACTAGAGGAAAGTTGTATGTTTCATCGCTGCTAACCAGGACTGGCTCGTCTCCTTCCCTGAACCCTTCCGAAAGGGGATGTCCACTTGCCTATAGATGGGCTTTGGGTCCACACTCCACACTCCCCCTCATTCACAATGACAAGAATTTTTGTTCTTTGATGCCTGACCCCAGTGAATCTTTTGAGTTTCTAAAACCCTGACTGATGCATAGGTTCAGCCTTAGTGTAGGACTATACCTCTTCTCTCGAGGCACAAATGGCAACCGAATAGCTTATGAAGAGGCTTCAAAAAGTTCATGGGAAAAGGTTTTGAAGCCTCTGTATTCCTTTCCAACTCTTGTTACTGTGGAGTCAGTGTTTTGAGAGGGATAATTTAAAATAGCACAGTTGATATCCCCTACCTTCTTTATGGTTGAGGTATGAACTACTGGGAAGGGTGGTGGGTATCAGATGGGGGGAGGAGAGGAGTTGAGAGGTAGGTAGATTTTGGATGGATGCCAAAAAAATACATAAGGAAAAGCTCTTGAGGTTTTGCTGGCTAATGAGAAGCCCAAGAAATCAACATCAAAGGCATTTGGAAGTCCCTTATAACACTCGGGAGAAAGACCTGGTAATCCATAAAGATAACAGCCAAGAGAACCAAATGGGGCAGTTTGTTTTGTTTGTTTTAAATAGTACTTTTATTGACATATCTTACACTTTCCAATATGTCCATTCACATACAAGTGTTGTTGAGTCCCATCAGGTGG